GCCGGTGCCGGGTTAGCCACGGGTGCGGGTGTCACCGCAGGAGCCAGCGTTCGGGATGCTGACGGCCCCTCTGGTGGCCCCCCTGACCCGGCTGGACGAGGAGCTGCGCCACGAGGCACTCAGCCTCTTCCAGCTGGTAGGTGAGACCAGGCGGGATCCAGCACCTCGACCCCCTGCCCGCTCCCTGCCCAGGGCTGCAGGGAGGACCTGGCTGCTCACCCGGCAGATCTTGCGGTTCATGGGGGACCCGGGGCTGGGCGGCTCGCAGGAGACCCTCTTTGGCAACTACATCGTGCAGAAGGGGCTGTCGGTGCCAGGGCTGCGGGATGAGCTCCTGGCACAAGCCGCCAATCAGGTCTGGCGTAACACCAACGTCAACAACGAGGAGCGGGGCTGGCTGCTGCTGGCCGCCCGCCTCAGCGCCTTCCCCCCCTCCGCCGCCTTCGACAAGTACCTGCTCAAGTGAGTCGGGGATGGGGACCAGGGATGGCTAGGACCCTGGGGGACAGCCTGGTACACATCCCTGGGGACACTGCTGGGTTTCTTCAGGATCCCTCTGGCCAGCCTGGCACGTGTGGCCACGATGATGCTTAGGTCGTGCTGGGGATGGTCTGAGGTCCTGCTGTGGTCTCCACGGTCAGGCTGGCATACATGGGCAGGGGTTGCTCAGGTTCCTCCAGAATCCCTCTGGCCAGTCTGGCACACATGGCCGGAATACTGCCCAGAGCTCTCCAGGGATGCTCTGAGGTTCTTCCATAGTTCCCCAGGGCCAGCCTGGCACATCTGCCTAGGGATTACGCCCAGATGACTCCAGGATCCCTCTGGCCAGCCTGGCACACGTGGCCAGAGCCCTGCCCAGAGCTCCCCAGGGGTGCTCTTAGCCCCTCAGTGGCCCCTGGGGCCAGCCAGGCACACATGCCTGAGGGGACACTGCCCAGATCCCTCCTGCAGCATCCCCCCTTTCCCGCAGGTTTGTCTCCGACTACGCCTTCGCGGGCTACAAGCCGGTGTGCCAGCGCAAGCTGATGCAGGCCATGGCGCGGTCCCAGCTGGGCGCAGAGGCCGCCCGCACCTTCCCGCCCTCGCTGCTGGAGTGGACGGCCAACCGGCGGCAGGCCCGCATGGCGCTGGACCTGCACTGCTTCAACGGTGCGGGGCGGTGCGGGGACGGGGGCGTGGCTGGCACGGAGGGTCGGTCCTGGCTTGACCACCCTGCCACCGTCATGGGCAGGAGGGGACCAGAGGGGACCCGCTCACCACCCGTCCCTCCCCAGGCGACCAGTTCTCCTGTCCTGTCCACTCCTGGAGCACGGGTGAGGACCTGGCAGGGGATGTTCTGAAGCACAGGTACCTACCGGACTGGCATCCCCTCACCCTGCAGTGGGGAACAGCCATTTTGGGTGACCCCAGGAACTGGGAGCTGGGATGCTCAGCTCGTGGGCAGGGTGTCCCAGCAGAACTGGGGCACTGCTGGCAGCCTGTACCCGTCCCCAGCGTCCCACTATTGGCAGGGGGCTGGTGGAAGGCTGGCGTGGCTGGTCTGTGGTCATGAAGGCAGGTGCCCAGTGGGCTGAGCTGGCCGGCCATGACTATGTCCTGGACCTCATCTCTGACCTTGAGCTGCTCCGAGGCTTTCCTAAGCAGAAGTCCTGCTTCCTTGTTGCATGGGAGGGGGCTGAGAACCGCAGCAGGGACAGCCGAGTGTAAGTACCCAGGCAGGGACTGGTCCCCTGCTGTGGGGGGAACATCAGCACCAGGCTGGCTGGGTGCTGGCAGAGGCATGGGTCAGGGTCGATCTGACATCCTTCCTCTCTGCAGGGTGCTGGGACACGGCTTGGATTTGGATGAAGTGCCGCCTCCCCCCGCCGTGAAAGCCCCCACGCTGCCTTCCACAGAGCCCTACCACCCCCATGGTAGGGCATCATTCCCCAGAGCTGCTGGTGGGGCTGTGCTGGTGAACCCTGCTGTGCCAGGGAATCCCACTGAGCCAGTGAACCTCACCGTGCTGGTGGAGCCCTGCTGCTGGCAGCTCATCCCTCCTCATCCCTCAGCAGACGGGGAATTTGGGGAGCCACGGAGCCAGAAGGGTCTGGACCGGTACCTGGACAGTCTCTTCGACCCTGTGCTCTCCTACGGCAATGGGGTGAGAGGGGCATCCCCCTGCCCGAGGCAGAGGGGGTCCAGCATTTTGGGGGTGCAGGTTGCTTGGTCTCTGTCCCCTGACACCTGTCCCCCAGGAGCTGGAGAAGCCGGCTGCTGTGTCACAGAGGATGAAGGGAGGAGGTGGCACGGGAGTGGGGGACAGTGGCCACAATGCTGAGCAGAGAAGTTCCCCTGCACCCATGGAGATGCGTCAGCCGAGAGGTGAGTGCCCAGATCGCTCCTGCATCCCGGCCCAGCTCCCTGCCTCAGTTTCCCCACCTAATCCCAGGTGTGAGGGACATCCCAGCACACTGGCTGAGCCCTCCCCCTTTGCCCTCACAGGAGCAGAGGCTGCCCCATCCCCACAGCGCTGGGCAGATGCCAACCAGTCACCTGGACCTCCGGTCAGTGGGGCAGCACTAGGGGGGTTGGGAGGGGTTGATCCCTGCCCAGTGGGGCAGCTACCCAGGAATGGGGCAGCTGGGCATGACAGATGCTCATGGTGGGGTGTCTCTTGCAGGGCAGAGCAGCAGGGGGAGCACCAGCCCGTGCCCCCCAGCCCCGGCCCTACTCTCAGAAAGCTGGTAAGGGGTCCCAGGGCAATGGGGCAGCAATGGAGGCTTGAGGCACTAAGCCAGGGCCCAGGCATGAGGGTGGTGCCTGGTGCCCCCCCAACCATCTGCTTGTTCCTGCAGCACCCACGGGCCAGCGGTGGCCGGGTGAGAAGGTGGTGCGACATTCCCGGCTCAACTCGGAGCACTTCCCACGGCCCACGCACGACATCCGCAACATCATCCGGCAGTGCCAGCCGGCCCCGCGCGGCCCCCAGCCCCCCAGGTACCCACCTGGCCCCACCTGAGCCGTGGGCGTCTCTTGCCTGCAGGTGCAGGTGATGTGGAGTGCAGGTGACCTGGGGTGCTGTCTCTGCAGCAAGCTCTTTGGGAAGAAGCTGGATCCCCACGAGGAAGCCATGCAGATCCTGAAGGAGCAGCTCTCAGCAGCCCGGGTGCCGGCAGCTGCGGTAGGGATTTGGTCACCCCCGTGTCCCCTGTGCCAGGCTGTGGGAGCCTCTGTCCCCACCTACAGCCTGTTCTCTGCCTCACAGGGGCCCAAGGAGATGGTGGCCACAGTGAAGCCGGTCACCAGCAGCAGGTACCAGCTGCGAGCACCAACGGGGCGCCCAGCAGCCACCCGGCCCCCAGGTATCACAGGGCAGAGCTGTGGCACTGTGGGGGCCACAGTAGAGCAGGGCACCCCATCCTCTTCAGTGGCACTGGGTGATGCCTGATATGGCCAGGCACATGGACAGCTCTACAGCATCCTCATGGATAACTGCTGTGTCCAGCTAAACCCTCCCTGCCCCACAGCTGACCCCTGTGCCTCAGTTTCCCTGGGTGGGGGGGCTGGTGGTGGGTGCTCCAGGGACACACAGACCTTTCCATCCCTTCACAGTGTCTGTCTCTCGGGAGCTCCCATCCGAGGCACAGCAGGTCCAGACCCAACTGCACCGGAGCTGCAGTGAGGATTTCTACACCTACCACAACGTGCCCTGGAAAATCTACATCCGCAAGGAGGTGTGGGAAGGGGGGGACACACACGGGGGCAGGCTGGTGTCAAAGTGTTAAGGGGATAATGGGGCCTTTTTTCCTAGCCAGAGGCCCTGCAGGGTGGGCAATGCCACGCTGGGTTTTCTCCTGGCAGGTTTTCTATCCCAAGGACAGCATCAACAACCCACTGCTGCTCGACCTCATCTTCCGGCAGGTGAGGCACCGAGATTGCCCTGAAGCCCCGCCGGGGCTCCCATGGGAGCTGGGGGATCTACTTATCTCAGGAGCCGGGGGGAGGAGGCCGTCCGGGGCAGAGGGGCGGGGGGACATGCCACTCCCCCCCGGCTGCTCCTCCCCCGTTCCTCAGATCTTCAATGACACGCTCTCAGACACCTGCATCCGCATCAGCCAGGAGGAGCGGATCCGCCTGAAATCCCTCTTCGGTAACCCCCACAACCGGCTGCTCCTGGGCGGGGGGCTCACACCTGGGGGGCCCAAACCTGGGGGTCTCACACCCACCTCTCCATGGCCCATCCTCATCTCCTGGGCATTTCCAAGCCACAGGTGGCTCTGCTTAAGCCCGGGGGAGTTTTGCTTCCAAATGCAAGGAGACCCCTGTGATTAAATTCTCCACAAAGCCACGAGTTGTGTCAGGTCTCAGCCAGGCTGGCTGAATGAGGGGATGCCCATAAGGGGGAACCTATCACCACGACACCTTCCGTCGTGGTTCTGCCAGGTTTGGGAAGGGGATGAGCATTCCTCACTGTGAACGCTGTGCCTGGATCCACCCCGGGGAGGGGGGATGCTCATTAATGTTTCTCCCTGCAGCTGAAAATAAACTGGACTCCTTCAGCCCCGTGGCCACTGAGAGCGTCAAGAGGGAGATCATTGCTGCTGCCCGGGATGGCTGTGAGGTTTATTTCTCACGTCTCTTCCCTGCCACGGTGAGGGTCCAGCCATGAGAAGGGTTGGGGAGGGGGAACACAGCCCCGTGACCCCAGCTGAGGGGGTGTCCCGGCCTGCAGGGCAGCGTGGGGACAGGCGTGCAGATCCTGGCTGTGTCCCACGCCGGCGTCAAGCTGCTGCGGCTGGTGAAGGGCACCAACGTCCCCGGGGAGCAGCTGCGGGTGCTGCGGGCGTACAGGTAAGGGGGAGGAGCAAGGGTGGTCGGGGTGGGATGGGTGCTGGGGGTGCCGGGTGTTTCAGCCTCCCCTCGCCCTGCCCCAGCTACGCCGACGTGCTGTTCGTCACCACCCCGTCCAGGAACATGCTGGAGTTCAACCTGAGCAGTGAGAAGCTCATCCTCTTCTCCCCCAAAGCCCCCCAGGTCAAGGCCATGGTCGATCACTTCATCACAGAGCTCAGGAAGGTGGGGGGGGGCCCGGGGCTGGGGCGGGGAGCAGCTGGGAGCATGTCCTGGGGGCTGGACCATGCAAATGGGACCATGGCTGGGGTGAGGGGAGGATGAAGGGAGCACTCTGGGGGGGGTCTGTGGACATGGGTGCTTGAAGCCCCTATGCTGGGTGGGATGTGGTGGGGGTGTGTGGGTGCATGGGCTGTGCCAGCCCCCCCTGTGCCCAGGACTCCCAGTATGTGGTGGCCGTGAGGAACTACAGTCCAGAGGACAGGGGCCAGCTCAGCTTCCACAAAGGGGACATCATCCACCTGCAGCCATTGGAGCACCCTGAGAGAGGCGAGTGCCCCCCATTCCAAAACACCCTCCATGGGCAAAAGGACTGATGGTTTCAGTGGCACTGGAAGTCACTGTGCCTTGGCCTTGCATCCTGTGATCCCCCATGTCCCTGTGATGTCCCTGCAGACCACTACTATGGCTGCGTGGTCCGCAAGAAGGTGATGTACCTAGAGGAGCTGAAGACGGGCACCCAAGATTTCGGTGGGTACCTTGTCCCTGGTCACACCCCCTTTCCTGGGCTGTGTCCCCTCCTGGGGCTGGGGCGGGATCCTGCCTCTGTCACCCCACAGCAGGATGGTTTGGGCTCTTTTTGGCACTGGGATGTTCTCCTGTGGTGCCCACCCTGCGTGGCACCGGGTGCTGCCCCACATCCCTGCAGGTGACAGGCTTTGTGGCTCCCGCTCGGTGCTTTCCCTCGAGCAACGCCGAACCGCAGCCGCACCCCCTGGAAAGGGCTCGGGGTGCAGGAGGGAGCGGGCAGAGGCTTCTTGGGGAGTGAACCCCAGGGCTGCCAGCCCGTGCCCATCCCCACGGTCTGCCCGGTGCAGGGTGGAAGTTCGGGGCCATGCCCAGGGACAAGCAGGGCAGGGTGGCAGCTTCGGCGGCCGTGGCCGTGGCTGTGGCCTCCACCGCTGTCGCCCAGGAGCTGGATCGGAAAACCGAGGTGGGTGCTGGCCCGGAACTGCCCCCGGAGCGGTGCCGGTTGTGCCCGGTGCCCACCGCCCCGCTCCGCTCCGCAGATGTCCCCCACCAGCGCGGCCGTCACGGAGGGTCCGGAGGGAGATGGACACGACCGGGTCGTGGCCGGCGTGGGGACCTGCCCCATGCTGGGCTTCGCCCGGCGGTATTTCCGCGGGGCGCGGCAAGGGACGACGTGAGTGTCCAGCGGGGGGACGGGGACATCTTGTGGTGGGGACATCCCATGACAGGGACACCCGTGCCCACCCGAGCCGTCGTCGTTCTCCCAGGGACCCCGGCGGGATGAAGACGAAGAGGGACGTGCCCGATGTGCTGGAGATGCTGACATTCACGAAGGTATGGGGAAGCAGGGCGTCTCGGGGTGTCCCTGCTGTCACCTGCAGGTCCCCTCAGGGTCCTGACGTGCTCAGGAGCTTTCCAAATGCCACCCCAACCCCCAGACCATCTTGGCTGCTCCCGGGAGCTGACCTTCTCCCTCTCCAGATCCCTATCCAGGAGTCACTCATTGAATTCGTGGATGGTGGCACCAGCAAACTGGCTGCTGAGGCTTTCCAAGGTAGGTGGGGGTCAGCCCTGTCCCCCTGCTCCATGGCCATCCTCAGCCCCATCCTTGAAGCAGCATGTGGGAAGGACCGGAGTGGGCAGATGGGGTGGCCCAAGGAGGGTTTAGGTCCTCTGGCCCCACTGCCCTGCATGCCTGGGATGTTTCCCACACCCAGGGAAGCGTGTCCTCAGGGAAAGGATAGAGCGAGCTTTGTCACCATGTGGCTTTGTTGTCCCCAGCTGTGATGAAGTTCATGGGCGACCACCCTCTGCGGGGACAGACAGAGCTGGATGCCATCTGCACCATCCTCAAGGTAAATCCCCTGCTGGGCCAGTGAGTCCCGGGGGCCACATGGGCAGGAGGGTGGCAGCTGGGGACATCCCCAGCCACAGAGCAAGCTTTGCTTCTCCCCCAGCTGTGCAGGGAGCACGAGGCCCTGCGGGATGAGGTGTACTGCCAGATCATCAAACAGGTCACCAACAACACCAGCTCCAAGCCGTGAGTCCCTGCACCCATGCCATCCACCCTGCAGGGACAGCAGAGCCCGGCACTGGGGACACTGAGCCCCCCCCCAGTGGTGGGTGCCATTGCAGCCACCGCGGGCACCCTCCTCCTTCCCGGGGGCTCAGGGGTGGCTCTTCCCGGCAGGGACAGCTGCCAAAAGGGCTGGAGGCTGCTCTACATCCTCGCTGCCTACTACAAGTGCTCCGAGGTTCTCAAGCCCTTCCTCCTGACCTTCCTGCAGGATGCCAGCAGCCACCCGGAGCTGCCCTTCCAGGGTAGGGGCTGGGCAGCCACTGGGTGCACAGCAGGGAAGGACACTCAGGGGTGTCCCAGGGCTCTGGAGATGCAGCTCAGCCCTGTCCTTCACTGGGATCCCTGCTCCCTCCAGGCATCGCCAAAGCCTGTGAGCAAAACCTGCGGAAAACCCTGCAGTTTGGTGGTCGCAGCCTCTTCCCCAGCAGCATGGAGCTCAAGGCCATGGTGGTGAGGCTGGGTGCTCATGGGTGCCCGCAGGGCACAGGGCAGGGCTGACACCAGCTTGAGATCCCTCTCGGAGATTCTAGATCCACCCCACGGGCTCAGGATCACTCCCTATGGGCTCTGGGTTCCCCTATGGGCTCTGGGTCCCCCATGGGCTCAGGATCCTTCTGGACACTGCCCTGGGACTGAGCTGATGGTCCTTTTTGGGGTCTGCTTCCCAGGGGCACCACTTTGGGGGTGCCCTGAGCTTTCAAGGGTCCCCAGCAGGGACACAGCTCTGTGCACATGGGGTGGAAGGCAGGGTGGCTCCCCTGGGCAGGATGGGCAAGGCACAAGATGGTCCCCAGGGGATGGTCCCTGTGGGATAGTTTGGGGATTCAGGGTGTCCTTTGGGCTCTTGCTGTGCGAAGGGCCCCCCTGCACCCCAATGTATCCCCCTCACAGGCTGGACGCAGCGCCAAGCGCCAGCTCTTCCTCCTGCCTGGTGGCATCGAGAGGCACCTCAAGATCAAGACATGCTCGGTGAGTCAGGGTGGGGGGCGAAAGGCCTTGGGGACTTCCTGGTTGTGGGGTGTGGCTGTGGGGGGCTGCACCCCTCTGAGATGTGCCCAAACTGGGGGACTTTGTTCTCTAGGAAAAAGAGATCCCTTTCCTGGGGAGCCCCCTTGCAGGACCTGTTGGCGGTCCCAAGTGTAGCAGGCAGACGTGGCATTGTCCCATTGTCCCTGTGCCCAGGTGGCTCTGGACGTGATCGAGGAGCTGTGCTGTGAGATGGGGCTGCAGCACCCGGAGGCTTTTGAGGAGTACATCCTCTTCGTGGTGACTGACGGAGGTGAGGGGCTGGTGGGGACAGGATGGCCATGCCACCAGTGGGTGCCCAGCGTGGTGGCCACACTCAGGCTCCCGGGACGGCGCAGGGCAGAGCGTGCGGCCGCTGACCCGCCGGGAATATGTCCTGGATGTGGCTGGCGGGGCCGAAGCGCCGGGGCC